GTTATTTTTTAATTTGTTGATCTTTCTTTCATTGATTTTTGTTTCTTAACTCCATCCACCTATACCATTTATCCCATATCTGGTAGAATTCTGATTCTTCCTTTCCCTGGATTTCTTTAGTTAGTTTATCCATTTCGGCACAATAGATAATCTTTCTTATTATTTCATCTTCACTTGAGGTTAATTTGTTTTTCCATTTCTAGGCAAAGGCAATCCTTGCCGCCGTAATTATATGTAGTATTAAATCCTGGATTTTATTTTTGTATTTCACAGACATAATTCCTAATTTAAAAAAAACTATAAGAATTCCCATTCTTATATTTGCCTTACCTCATAAACATTGTGCTTTGGATCCTTCTCAGGAAGTTTCTCCGCACATACTGCTTCTTCTCCTTGCAAGCACCTGTTTCTCCTAGATAGGAGAATAATTGCTCCTGAGATTATGGGACTGGACTAGGATAGGAGAGTTGTTTAGGAAAGGAAAACAAAGCTTAATATCCATGAAATTTCCTAAATTATCTTAGAAACCAAGCTGTCATAATAAATAATTGTAATGTAAATAAGAGTAAAATGACATCTAAAGGGGGAAGCATTAATGTAATACACAGTAAAGTTCTCAAAATATTTTTTTTTAAATGGGATTTGATGATAAGCCTCAAAGCAAGGTTCTGGAGCAAAATTATTTAAGGAAAGAGTTTCAGAAAAGAGAAACAACTGCACAGTTCTATACATGGAAAATTGATTTAGGGTATTTCCCATCCTTTTGTTCCTGGTGTTTTATTTAAACTGGACTTTCAAAGTTTGAACCTGGGAACTTAAACTTTCCTACAGGTAAAAGTTGTGGGTGCTCCATCACTGGAGGTTTTAAAGAAGAGATTGGACAGCCATTTGTCTGGAATGATATAGGGTCTCCCCCCTTTTATAGGGGGTTGGACTAGAAGACTTTCAAGGTCCCTTCCAATTCTGTTATCTAAAGATTGGGAAAAGCTGTTCCAGTTACTATGTCTTATCAAATTTAATATTGGAAAATGCTCAAATGATTAAAAAAACATAAAAGAGCATAATTTCTCTCCAATACTTCAGTGGCAAAACACATGCAGAGATTCCATTATGCCACCTAAACCTCTGCAGAACCCTCAGAATGGTCTGCCTAGCATGCCAAGGACATACTTAAGAATAGCATTATATTATATTAAAGAGTATAAAGAGCGCCCTAACCAGAATTAGAGAAAAAAGGCTTCCATGCTGAGTGTGGCTTGCTTGGAGAAAGAAGTGAGCTTTGACTGATCTTTGTGTAGAAATGAAGCATTGAAAACAGATGAAGCAAAAAGCTGGGGGGTGGGGAGAACGGGGAAGAAGATAGGAAGTATTCTATTAATAGGGCTGATTTTCCCCTACTTTCTGTACAATAAGAAGGATTTAAGTGCTTTGATTATTTTATATGTATGTGTGACTCAGACACTGCTGCTGAGAAGAAAAAGCTGCACTCACAATCATCATAGTCTTGGGTATTCCTGTGAGTTAAACAAATATCTAATAAAGAGATACAGCTGTTTCCAGCTTTGTACACTAAACCTGGAAACGTGGTTTGCTTGTCATTGTAACTAAACATGAGTGTGAATAAATCCAGATGATTTATGCAGCTATAGTATTGACAAAACCTATAAGACATTTATTAAAAAAAAGTATAACAAATCAGTTAAATTGGCATAAAATAAGGTTTTAGTCAAATAAAATTGAAACGAAAACATTTCACTTTTCTTGCATACAGTTGTTCCTGTTTAACACAAATTTCATAAACAACCCTTTTTCAAAGATCTCCCTATACAGATATTTAACAGATTAACAGAGTTGGAAGAGACCTTATAGGTCAAATTTCTCCACATGCTCCAGGTTTTCTGGTTGTCTGACATCTTAACAAAACAACATATTATACTATGATTTTTATTTCTAAGACTGCCTCTGACTCCCAATAAACGCCATTAATCCAGTGCTTTATTTGGAAGTATCTCACCTGTCCAGAACAGTACAGAACCAGATGGAGCAGATGATAAACTATTCTGGATCATCCATATTGAATTAAAAAATATCCATCAGCATTAAAGGACAGAGAAGCAATATAGGTTGTCCTCGATTTACAACCACAATTGAGCCCAAAATGTCTGTTCCTAAGTCAGACATTTTTTAGGTAAATTTTGCCCCATTTTATGATCTTTCTTGCCATATTTGTTAAGTGACTCACCTCAGTTGTTAATTTAGTAACAGGGTTGTTAAGTGAATCTGGTTTCCTTGTTGATTTTCTTTATCAGAAGGTTGCAAAAGGAGATTACATAACTCCAGGACCAGAGGTGGGTTGCTCCCAGTACACACCAGTACGGGCGTACCATTAGCGGAAATTGGCCAGACGTTTGCGGACTGGTAGCGGCAGCAGACTGGCCATGCCCCTGTACCAGTACGGTCCCCTGGCCTGCTTCCATTTGCCCCCCCCCCCGCCAGCCTGGTCGCGGCTCACTTGCTCTCTCATCCTGCCCACCCACTTCCCTTGCCCGTCCAGCTGGTGGCAGTGGCAGCGGCGCCAGTCATGGCTGAGAGCTTTGTTTGCCAGCCAGCTGCCGAAAAGTTCTCCCTTTTAAAAGCCTCCAGTGATGGAGCATTAGGATCCAAACCACACTTTAACCAACCAACCAACTGGGGCTTAGTTTGGAACCAGAAGAAGAAAGAACCGGTGAATGGCTGCGCCCAGGCGGGAGGGATGTTGGGAGGGCTGTGGGGGTAGGAGTTTGAAGGTCTCTGAGTGAGTGCTGGGCAACCAGGTTACGTTTGTGGACTGGTAGCAGGAGCAGCAGCCTGGCCATGCTCCTGTACCAGTACAGACCGCTGGCCTGCCTCCACTCGCTCCCCCCGCCAGGCCCTGGGATGTTCAGCAGCCCATGTGCTGCTGCCATGTGACTGCTCTGGGGGCGCACAGCGTCCGGCTGGAGCGGTGGGGCTGCCCCAGAAGGTCTCCGCCAACCAGGAACGATTGCCAGGAGAAAGCCAACTGCAGCCGGCAATTGAACGCAAAGGAGCAGCTGTCCAACAGAGCCGGGAGGATCACAAGGTCGGTGGGGGGCAGGGAGGTTGCACGGACAAATTTTCACCAACTGGAACAGATGTGTGTGTGTATGTAAGAGAGGGTGGGAGACAGAGAGAAGGAAGGAAGGAAAGAAAGAAAGAAAGAAAGAAAGAAAGAAAGAAAGAAAGAAAGAAAGAAAGAAAGAAAGAAAGAAAGAAAGAAAACATTTTGAAACCCACTACTGCCCAGGACACTGCAATTGGCATAAATATGAGTCAGTTGCCAAGCTTCTGAATTTTGATCACATGACCATGGGGATGCTGCAGTCATTATAAGTGTGAAAAACTGTCATAAGTCACTTTTTTCTGTGCCTTTATAACTTTGAATGGTCACTAAAGAACTATTGTAAATTGAGGACAGTTCAAGGAAAGAAACACTATTAAGGTCATCTAAACAGGCCATTGGATTTTCTAGCCAATAAACCCTGCCAACTGAGATCTCTTTAAATGGCAATGACACACACCAAACCAGGGATATTTTATATGCAAAGCAGGACTTTAACTTTGAATTAATGTTCCCTGCCCTATTCTCTCATATGCCTTCACTGAGAATTATGCTGACTAACAAGCCACTTACTCTTACTTTTAAACAACAGATGTGGGGTGAGTTCTTTTTGTACGATTGTCAACTGCAAACTATGTAAGGATAGTCTTTGAAATATATGCAATATTTAACTCATTTCCAATGGAAAGTGCTTTGTTTAAATAGATGTTTGCTAAAATGTTGTCCAAATAAAAAACCATGTAAAGATTCTATTTGAAATACATGCTAAACCCTTAGTTACATTGTGTCATGTATACAAAATGTTTATCTTCATATTATATGTATATTATTGCTTTTTTTCATCTTGCATAACCTGAGGCATTTTTAGAGATGCATTTTGAGATAAATAGATTTGTTAAGAACATTAATTCCTGTTACATTAATCCTTATTCCTATACGATAATAGTGATATGAACTCAACCCCCCCCCAAAAAATACATTTTTGTTTTGCTTATATATCAGAAACAGTTTCTGATATTTTTTTAAATTAAAATCACTGAACAAAACAGTGTTTTTATGTCATTGAAATTATATCAAACAATACACAAAGAAAAAAAAACAATATCAGGAGTTGTGATAGCAGTAACATTGAAGTTAAACTTTTGAAACAATGACTTCTGAGATAGATTATTAGTTTAAATCAAAATTGCTTTAACTACTTCTGCTACATCTATTTGTATTTTTTTATTGCTATAACTTGTTTTATTTTGCAGGTCTAGATTTTGTTTGCTTTTGAAATTTGATGGATCAAATTTGATGGGCTACTGCAACCTGGTATGTTTCCCAGTTCCAGGTCCACTAACTCTAATTGGCAGATATATTTGAACAGGCGAAGATGTTCAAGAGCCACCTTTTTATGTACTACTGGACCATCTTTCATGTTTTCAATTTATTAGCAGTATGGACAACTGCTGAAGATGTCATTAATAGCACTTTAAATCACACAGACCTGCTGGCAGGATCTGTACCTATGGTAATCTACAGTCTTGACCATATTATAGTCAAGGAAGGTTATAGTGCCTTGATTGACTGCAACGTTCAAGGTTATCCAGAACCAGAGTACAAGTGGTACAGCTCAAATGGCCATTTGGTGAAAGAAGATGGAGGTACAGTTTTCAGATGTTTTTCTATGCATCCTATGCAAACATACTGTCTTCATGTTATATTGTCTTAAAAGCACCAACGGTTGTAAATTTGTTTTTCTCTATTTACTCAAGATAAATGAGTAAAAGGTAAATAAATGCAAAGTATTAATTATACTTGATAGATTGAGGCAACTACCAATTCTACCCAGCAGAAAGATTCTTTTCCTAAACTTAATGTGGATATTTTACAGAATGCTGATGGAGCTGAGAAACTTGTATCTATAACTACATGTAAGATATGTATATGTTCATTAACCATTTATAGTCATAAATCATAAATCTACATACCACGAGTGACTTATACCACACCACACTTGTCAACTCACTCAGATTAGGGCCAGTCTTTAATCCCAATCATGTTGATTCTGGCTATTGCTGTTACTTCTCTTGCTTTTTTAAAAACAATTCATCTGTGATGTCATGATTAGTAACAGAGTTTAACTTCGTAATGCACACCACATCTTCAGAAACATCATTTTTTGTTAAGGGAAGAATTATAGCCATCCTACCCATTGCAGTGTTGATCCTGATTATTCTACCCATATTCCATTGCACTTGGAAAGAGGACATGTGGAAGAAAAACATTCTTGTAGATTCCTGCTCATGGACTCATGGGAAGTAGCTGGCAGGATTAATAGCACACGATTTGCTGTAACTGCTATATCCATTTCTTCAAAAGTCAAACGAACTATCTGGAATTTGGAAAATCAGATATTACAAAAAAGCATATGAGCTTTTGAGTGCTTTGCTTCAGTTGGAATGATACTGCTGGATTCTTCAGAACATCCCAAATCTAGATAATTTGCTGGGATGGTTTGCTTTAAGCATCAGTATACATCAAGTGGGAGTAATGGTGAGAAATCATGCCTATCACAACACAATATGAATTGGAGATTATCTTTGGTTGTATGGATATGTAGGGAGTGTTAGCATTCCGAGTAGCACATCCACCAAAAGCAGAACTCCAAGGCAGGTAGATTCTTTAAAGAACAGGTTTATTGGCTACATCATATCACACCACTAGTGAAAACCAACTCTAAAAGTTCCCATTGTTTTTCCCTTAACTTAAAAGAACAATTAATTCCCTCCCCAGATGTCCCGGTCACATTGTCCAGTGACAGACTGCTTGGTCACTCCACTCCTCCTTCAACTGCTATCTGTTGGGATGACCTTGGTTCCCACAAGAAAACTTTTTGTTTTGACTGGTAGCCAGTCTATCTACTCCCCCGCCCCCTCATGGCAACTATGAAGCAGCAAAAACATGGCTTCAGCCAGGTTCGCTTCAGAGTTGACAGGAAGATTTTTTTGTGAAAATGACAGCCCCCCCCCCCCCCACTGAAGCAAATGTTCTTTGCCCACTATCCTTTCTTAGATTGGCAGAAAATTATTCCAGCATGCATTTAACTGTACTGAATGCCATTTCCTGTTTAGCCTCTGTGGTATGTCTTCTGAGTCACATTCAGTGATCATGCCCCAAATATGCAAGGTTTGTTAATAAAACAATTGTTTGATTTCCCCAGTTCAACCCCTTCCCCTGCCCGGGGAGATGCAGAAATATGGTTCCCAACAGGTGGTCCGCCTTTCTTTACTATTTTGCCAAACATACAGAATGGCCTTTTTCCAAGCTATTTCTTCCCTTCCTTGAAATGTTTATCAAGGCAAGGAGAAACCAAAGATGCAAATTTCATCCAAGACTTTGAATGATAATAAAACATTGATCAGCAGTTCAGCCTTGTTTTGACAACGGAATTGGCATTCTTTTTCAAAATTCCAGTTCTGATACTCTAAACCAAAACAAGCCAGAAGAACAACTGAACAGTCAAGCTAGTGAGCTGCATGTCTTCAAAATCAGGGTTGCAGGGTTTTGAGAAAACCGGTTCTCCTGTGTACAGAATTGCGCCTCTGTCTCTTATTAGCTATTCTGCAGGCTTCGGGGAACTGCAGGTATGGGAGCAATTGGCATCTGTATCCAGTATTTCTTCAGCCAAAGAAAGAGCCAGACCCAGGGAGAGGACACGCATGTACAGCTTAAAAGGGTTAACCTTAAGTGTACAATGCATTAGAGCAGTGTTTCTCAACCTTGGCAACTTGAAGATGTCTGGACCTCAACTCCCAGAATTCCCCAGCCAGCATTCGCTGGCTGGGGAATTCTAGGAGTTGAAGTCCAGACATCTTCAAGTTGCCAAGGTTGAGAAACACTGCATTAGAGTCTGCCGTAGACAAAAGAGGCTGCAAAGTCACCCAGTTTTAGGTACTTGAAACTACCATGTGTGTCTGCTAGCTTAAAGGGGGAAACACTATTTGGCTATTTGTTCATGGGCTTAAGATGAGGTGCAGGCAACCTCAATAAATGAAGCAAAATAAAAAGGTTGCAGGACATATTCGTATTTGAGTTAGTTACAAGTGAGGAAAAGCAGAAAGACTGGCCTTCTTGTTTAGGCATGCCCCTCAATTGCTTTTCTGATATAGTTCTCCTAGCCCAGTTCTCTTTGGCCTTGGAAGTTTTCAACAAGTATACAAGCTAAATAGTATATAAAAATAGAAAAGCTTCATCCAGAAAGTTAAATATGTGACATATGCAGCCAAAACTAGGAAAGATTCTAATCTAAAATTATGAAGAGCTGCTCTCAGAGGTGTGACCAATACATAACAAAATGGACGAATAGTGAGATAATTCCTTGGGTACTCCAAGCATTAGAAATAAAATTCCGAGGTTTACTTGTGTCAGGTAGCTATGACAATCAAAATAGACAATAGGGGTTTAGGCAACCAAGTAATCTGACCTGTTATACTAGAAGGAAATCTAGAAGGAATTGCTTAAACATTAAATAGCTCATTCCTCATAACTCCTCCGTCTTGTTATACCTGTATTGTTACAAAATAAATTTAAGCATCTTTGTGAAATATATGTGCAATAAAATACTGATTTAATTGGACAAGTCCAGAAATACATCAAAGTTCTTTTTTACATGTCCTTCATTTATAGGAACAGATTACTTTTTTGCTTATATACAAATCATTTGCAATCTCTTGCCTGCACAAAAGTAACCATAATATTTCTTGGGATTATATTAGTTTAAAATCATCGGAAATGTGTGTAAGATAATTACAGAATGATTTAAGAGATAAATGTGCTTGGGAATATACACAGTTTTACAATCTAGCGATATCATACGGCATTCTATGGCAATCTTGGATAAGCAGATCTAATTAATGGCCAAGACTTCAAGTTCCTTAACAGCAGTTATTCCAGAATATTGTAGATGCATTATAAGATGTCTTTGAATCAATTACTTGAATGTATTGTGATCTTTCCTAAATGATGATGAGAAAAAATATGGATACATTTTACTAATTAATTCTGGCTTCTTTCCAGCAGGAAAATGGATTCTCAATAGCGGGCAACTAAATATTACCAGTGTGTTATTTGAAGATCGAGGAAAATACACATGTGTTGCTGCTAACGTCTATGGCAAAGTGAATAATACTGTCACCCTGAGGGTTGTATTTACCGCTGGAGACATGGGGATCTACTACATGATTGTATGTCTTGTAGCATTTACCATTGTTTTGATCTTAAATATTACGAGACTATGCATGATGAGTAGCCACTTGAAAAAGACTGAGAAAGCGATCAATGATTTTTTTCGGACAGAAGGAGCTGAAAAACTTCAAAAAGCTTTTGAGATTGCTAAGCGCATCCCGATAATCACCTCAGCAAAAACTCTTGAGCTTGCCAAAGTAACCCAGTTTAAGACAATGGAGTTTGCCCGCTACATTGAGGAACTAGCTAGAAGTGTTCCCCTACCCCCTCTTATAATGAATTGTAGGACTATCATGGAAGAAATCATGGAAGTAGTCGGATTAGAGGAACAAGGCCATAAATTTGTAAGGCAATCAGCCGTGGGGCAAGGGATCATGGACCCTGATGAAATGTACGTGGTTTCCAGTCCCCTAAAGCGTAGTGATTCTCTTGCCGCTGATTCAGATGCATCTTCTTTGCATGAACCACCACTCAAGATTGCTATAAAAGTCTCAGTTCATCAGTTAACTAAGAAGGACTCTATTGATCACCTCACACACGATAGTATAGATGTAGAAATCAAAGAAGAGAAAGAAGTTGCTCAGGTACAGACGGAACCTAGTGACCTGGGCTTGGACCCTTCAACTGAACTCAGCTCAACTGAGACAATTGTGGGAAGTGGCAAGGACACATGTACTATTTATGAAACCCATTTATGATCATTTATCAGCAAATGTGTACTGATAAAAATAGTATAAAATGAAGTGGCAGAGTTGATAAGCCTTATTTGAACACCATAATAACAAAAACATCTCTATGGATTTCTTGATACATTCTTCCTCATTATATACTGTGCAGTATATTTAGCTGGGACACCTGATATAATTTCTATGACACTAATATTTAATTACTTTTTTGATCCAGGGAAATTTTAATTAACATTGTTTTAGCTCACAAAACACCTCAGAACGTGGATTAGGATTCTGCTGCTTGCAAGAACATCTAGAAATTGTGTTTATCACATAGAAATAAGATCTTAAAATTCTCACTCAGAACATTCAATTTCAGAGCAGAGATGTTGAAGTCAGGGGAGCTCTTGGTAACATCTGTATTAGCAATATACTATAATACCTAATGCTATATTACATAAACCCAAAAAAATCTGTATTTTTCATTTTGTTCTATCAATTACACCTTTGTGTACTTTCCTAAATTCAAATATTGAACATGAAAAACATTTTTGTAGCCAAACTAAAGCATTGCCCTACATTTAATTCATCTGATAGTTTATATTTAAAACAGTATATCTTTGGTTTTTTAAAATTTAATAGAAGAAAGTAATGATTTTCTTCACAAACTGGATAATTGGCTACTTTCTTTCGCAAGACAATAACTGGTCTCTAGGCAGAAAGTCTCAAGATAGTTACCCATTATCCCAATTACAAGCACAAAATGTGAGTCACCAAAACTCTACATCACTGAGTTGAAGGCCTGCCTACAAGCAAAGATAGGAAAGAAAAAGAATTAAAGCACATCAAGGAAGCCCTCAGAACCTGTGGCTATCCCAAGTAGGCCTTCATCAAATCTCAAAAAAGACCCTACAGGAGCTCCTTTATAACAGACAATTAAGAGAACAGTAAACGAAGCAACATTGTCATTGCATACATTTCAGAAATATCGGAAAAGCTCAGGAGGATCTTCAACCAACACAACATACACTTCAAATGCAAAAATACTCTAAGGCAGAAGTTTGTCTACCCCCAAGGATAAAACACCCAAACACAAACTTAGCAAATGTTATATGCAGTGAACCATGTGCAGATATGTACATTGGGGAAACAAAACAACTATTTCATAAACGCATGGCACGTTATAGGGAGAACAAACCCATCAGGCTTCAGCAGTCCATCTGCATTTAGAAGACAAAATGACTTTTGAAGACAGCAAAGTCCGCATTTTGGATAGAGGACCTCTGGTTTGAAAGAGGGGTCAAAGAGGCCATCTATGTCAAAATTGAACAGCCCTCTCTCAACAGAGGGGGAGAGAGATGGCATCATCTATCTACAGTCTACAACACAGTCCTTTCAACAGTTCCAAGAAGGCTCCACACCCATTTGCACCATTCAGTTGACCATGATGACACATAAACTTCAGGTGGCCTTAACGACTCTCTAAAAGAGTGCAAATGACCAGCTGTCTGCAAGGAGTATAAGTCCTTCCATTCCCTATCATCCAGTCACAGCTGAAAAAGGTTCTTGGTTGAGAAATGAAACATCTTCAAAGAAAAACCAGAAAGTCCTATTGCTTCTTGAAAAACCACCTTTGGGACAACCATGACCTGGATGATTGAGAATCCCCATAGACATTTAATTCAAATTGTATTAAGCAAGCAGAATTAAGCAAGCAGAATTATTCTTCAGAATATCCATGCCATATGATGATGATATGCAAAAAAGGAAACTGATCCGTATGCATCAGATATATTTTTTTTTATAGCTGTAAACTAGACCAAGCAATCACAAGGAGACGACAGTGGTTCAAAGAGGTGTGCGTGTGCATGTGTGTGGACACACATACACAGCTGCTGTAGTATATCGCATTACACTTTATCTACTACTCTTCATGTGGCATACCAAATAAGGGGAACTCTGACCACATTTGCATCTGATCATCCTAATTTCTGCAGGAATCTCATTTCAATATAATAAAATGTGACTTTGTATTGCTATTATTATTATGATAGAATATGCAATGAAAAGCTATAGGAAAATTTGCTTCTGTATGTCAACAAGAAACTGAAGATCTGCATAAAAAGCTGCCCTGAATGATGGCTCTCAACTAGTAATATCTGCATCTGATGAAATAGCTTCACTGCATGAATAGGTGTTTACAAGTTACATAGTTTTTCAGCAAATAACTCTGGGATGACAGTGATTGGGTTTGTGCCTTACTCATTATAATATATAATTTAGATTCAGAAATTTGCTAGGATACGGGCAGGCAACTTAGTGCTGCAGTAATAAGCAATAATTGCTAGTGTACAGGGAGACATCTCATTAAAACTCCACCAGGTATTATTTCCCAGGCATCCCCACAAAACAGGTTTTCTGACATCTTTATATAGCAATTCAATTATTAATAGGCTTTACTATGAGCTTATGTAACCATGTTTGTGATTCTTAAATGTTCATGTTTTTATTGTGGTTGAAGGGATTACTCTCCCTTTAAAAACAGAAGCATGCCCTGGCTGGATTAAACCAAAGGCCACCTAATTCTTGCAGTAGCCCATTCAATGACACATTCAATGAGCCCATTCCAGTCTCCTTCTCTACTCTTTTACCTTACCAACTGGTATTTAGAGTGCCTTGATGCTTCAGAATCTAAACCACCATATGGTAGACTTATTCTGAAAAGGAGCAGGTGATAAGAGTGACTGAATTTATCTAATCCCATTAGATTTGAATTTACTTCATTTATATAGGCTAAAAACATACTCTTATAATTTCCCCCTCTTTTCTACCCATTTTTGTTGTAAATCATTTAAGATTGACTAAATATAAGGGGACACAGGGTGGAAAAACTGAGACGTACTCTCTCTTCTTTTTGCCTGTTCTTAAGTATTCCTACCTGAAAGACCCACATTTCTTGAAAATCATACAAAAAATAAGTAATTACCAAGCATGAATGAACAAATCAAACAAATAACTACCATAGCTTTTGAAAAATAAGGAATCAGAATAAGAATATTATTTATTGGCCAAGTGTGATTGGACACACAAGGAATTTGTCTCAGGTGCATAAGCTCTCAGTGTACATACAAACAACAAAGTGGTAAATCATAGATTATAAATCATAAGATACAAACAAGTGATAAATCACAATATACCAATAGAAGAGGGTAGTAGGAAAGATGAGAAGGATAATAGCAGTACAGCCCTACTACATGGGTAAATATATTTAGGCATAAGGCAGTGCTGTGGAAATTTAGTAGAGTGATGGCGTGAAGGAAGGAACTGTCTCTGTTTCTTAGTTGTTTTGGCATGCAGTGCCCTATAGCGGTGTCCTGAGGGAAGAAGTTGAAACAGTTTGTGTCCAAGATGTGAGGGCTCTGTAGATATTTTCTCAGCCCTCTTTCTGATAGTATACAGGTCCTCAATCAAAGGCAGGCTGGTTGCAATTGTAACATGTAAATTTTTAGATATCTATTTCTATTCTTCAGGAGTATAAAAGATTAAAAGAGAAAGATTAAAAATATATTTAAAAAGAACCTTTTCACTTATCATCCACAGAGAAAACCTTACTCCAATAAATACAAAAAAGTAAATCTAAAATACATTGCATGAGGAAGGTCTCTGTTGATTTAGAATACTAATTGAAAAAAAGACAAGGATGTTTCCCAGGTAATTAAAATTAGTTTACTGCAAAAAAAAAAAGAGAGAGAGAGAGAGCTAAGCATTGGGGATGGAGAGTGTCACTTTTGATTTAATTCATTGATGCTCTCATGTATACATCATTTTAGCTTCATCTTCTGCAGTATTATATTTCTTCACCAACTTCAAGTCTGTTTTTACACTTTTTTAATGGAATTTACTTTTCGTAGAAGAGTTTACTTACGTATCATCTCTTCAAATGCTATACTCATGTCAGTGGACAAAAGTTAGTTATGAATAGGAAACCAAAAGGGGAAAAGAATAGATTTCTCTGCATATTCAAAATTCCCCCTTTCAACCCAGCAACTGAAAAGGGAAGTCTACTATATAGTTATATAACAAAACCATGTTCTTCTACAACATCAGCAGAATAGAAAAAACATTGCAATTGTAAACATAAATTAGCTTCATATTTGATTTAATTTTATAGAAGATTTGTTTTTCTCTTGGCTCAACCATTTCTGGAATGTATCCCACATATATCACCCCTAATTGCAGTGTTATGTGAAAATACTGTATTTAAAATATTTGTATTCCACTTTTGTGCTATAAAAGATCTAAACTTCTCATAAAATAAATTATTAAGCATTCATCATACAGTATTTAAGTAACAGTATACTTAAAAAGAAATATTAAAAAAGAAACATCAAAAATTCATTGAACCCTACCAGCAATAGGGGTGGCAACAAAGTCAATCACTAAGGTCAAATAATTTTCAGGTTACAATTTTACAACATGAAATAACCAAAGACTGGTTTCTGTATAGCTAACAGAGGAAACACTAATTATTCTCATGATTTGAGCAGATTCATGAGAAAATAGGTATCCTTTTGGACAAAGTTAAGGGATTTAAAGATCGTAAATCAATTCTAGTTATTTCAGCTATTTTTCAGTGCAGAATTTATAAAATAAAGCAGTAAAGCAAATCCATGCTTCTTACACCTTTTGATTTCACTGCATTTAAGTCACATAATCTGAAACTTACTTATCAAATTTCTTTACCACACATCTCACCTTACTTTGGGCAGTTTGCAAATACTCTATAGTATTTTAAATTCACAATTTTCCCCAAAGATAGTTGTTTTCTTATAATCTTACCTTGAATAAATACAGAAGCAATGAAATATAGCAAGATAAAAATAAAAGTGCAATTCTACATTAAATATTTCTGTGCACTACCAATTTCCATGAGAGTTCAAACTGTTGAAAGCAATAAGGATATGTTCACAACTTCAAAAGAATTTAGGTATTCTAAAAGGGAGCAGAAATGGTATTTCTGGTCCATATATGAAGCACACATACAAAATGTTAAAATCTCATTTTTGAAGGATATCAGGCACCACACATTTTTTACATCATTGTACATCTATTCATGGCTATCATTATGTAATACATATTCCTTGTGTGGTGGACTTCACCATTTCCTTTGTCAAACTACTTCATGATTGGGATATTTTTCTGCTGGAGTCTGTCTTGTAAACTAAGATATTGTTCCAATTGCATTTTGAGTCAATAGGAAACAGGTTTTGACATCCTTCAGGTGTCTGAATAGCAATCTTATGTTCCTATTGTCATATTTTTCAAAGGTTAAACATGCTTAGTTATCTCAGTCTATCTTGATAAGATTTAATTTTTATTTCTAGATGATTCTGGATTTTTCTTCCCTTAATTTTCCATATCTTTCATAAAATATTATCCCCCAAATTGGAACAGTAATTGTTGTTGAGCTGTGACTGAAGGAGAATATATTGGAATTCCTAATTCAGGCATGGAGTCTAAAATTACATATGTTGTGCTGAATTGCTGGCTCATATATGCCTTGCAGTCAGTTACAGTGCCAGCCAGCCCAATTTGCTAATTGGAATGAGGCACTTTATCAAATACTTTGCTGAAATCCAACTATATTATGTCCAGAATGTTCTCCTGATTGAATAAAGAAAATACTTATTCAGAAATTGAAATAAGATTAGTTTTCAAGAGTTTTGTGAAATTTGAAAATGAATTAATTTCATAGGGTATAAACTTTTATAGACTGGAGCCTCTATCTTTAAATAACTAGGGATATGCGAGAACTGAAGCTAGCAAGACCAGAAACAATGGACAAGAAAGAAGACCATTGTCAATACTCTGAGCAAATAGCTTCAATATCCAAGGATGAAGAAAAAGGGGGAGCAGTTTATTATTGCATATGATTGGCAAGAGATACTAGATATAAAGGAACTCTGGAGTTGAATAAATATGTTTAGATTCAGCTGCAATTGTTAATATTTGGTAATATACGAGCTGCTTTCTCATTATGAAAACAATTTGAACTTTTTTCATTCAATATTTTACAACCAAGTTCATGAGAGCAAGATCTTCTACGTAAATATCAATTTATTGCACTGCTCTGGCAAGATGTAAAGTATACAAAATACAGTGGCATTAAATAGCAATTAAATAAAAACTTAAACATATGCAAAATTAATCAAATGGAAATGAAAGTGATTTCTTTGGTCTGTGTGTGTGTACATAAACATTTGCTGGTTTCCAGATAGGGCCACAGAATTCTAAAATGTAATATTGGCTTCCTTGGCTCCACAATAAAAAATATATAAGTCATGCTTTAAATTTTGTT